GCTACGCGATCAGCCACGCCCGGCTCCGGCCCGCCTCCGGTCCGCTGCACAAATCACTGCCGCTCCTCCCTCCCCGCTCCCTTCCTGCCCCAGAGCCCCCGCCTACCAGGTCTCTCCCGGACCGCTCCCGTCCGGCCCGGGCCCCGGAGGTGCCGGCCCCGCAGGTGCAGGCCCAAGCCCCGCGGGATGAAGGCGGAGGCAGCGACCCCCTTCGGGCCTGGATCTTCCCGCCGCGGGCCGGCACCTGCCGTTGCGAGCTCGGGCCGCGGCGACGTCTGTGTGCGTGCTTGTGCGTGTTTATTTGCGCGGGGTTCGGAAAAGCGGGGTTTGGGTTGCATTTCGCTCCCCACAGACCCAGAGCCGAATTTCGGAGGTATCCGGGCTCTGGTGGCCTGAGGGGGGCGACGTGCCCCGCACCGCAGCGTCCTCCGACAGCTTGTCCTAGCGCCCGGAGCAGCCTCCGGCGCGCGTGGGCGCGCCGGGAGCATGCGTGTGCGGGCGGAGGGCGCGCGCCCGAGCGCGGCCGCGGGCGGCGGGAGCCCGCCCAGGGTCTGGTGCTGCCGCTCGGGGAAGTGCGCCATCGTTACGAAGCTGATGGGTGGCTGAGGAGGCGAATCTTTAGTGCCCCATTAATTCCCATCGGCACGACCCCGAGGCACTCGAAATAGTCTCCATAACAGTCCAGTGGTTGCTATGCAACTGCCGCAGCTGGACAAAACCCGGCAGCCGCTCCAATCAGCTTGCAGCTTTCCGGGTCCCGCCTACGCAGAAATAGCCGAGCTGCTGCTGCGCGGGCTCTTCACGCTGGCTCCCAGCTCAAGTGTGCACCGGAGTCCCGCCGCAGCCCGCCGGGTGGGCCGCTCGGCTCTTCGCGCCCAGCATCACCGCACATCAAAACGGAGTAGTCTCAGGCAGTGTTCTAAAGAGGGAGAGGGAACTCCCAGGAAGAGTCCAATGTGGTGGGGCTCTCTTCATTCTCATTGAACTTAACCGCACAGCAGCGCTACGCTGCAGGTACTCCGTCCCTCTTAGAAAGAAGGGAAACTACATCTAAAAAGGTTAGCTAACTCACGTGGGGACACCCAGCTAGTGAACATGGAGAACTATGAAGAGTCTGAGGTTTTATGCTGCTTCCAGACTGACACGTTAGTATTCACAGTTCCGTGATCGCTGACAACACAGCGGTCTCCTAATCAGAAACAAAATGCTATTACAGCAAAAGCAATGGAGAGTTCGCATGCTCGCGTTGGTTCCCTGAACCCCAATTCTTACAGTAATGAAGCATATGGGCCCAGATGCATGCTTGCACCCCAAACAGATCGCACCACCAGAAAAGAATGCTGAGTTTGGGGACCTCACCCTGCAACACGAGTAGTAAGCAAGCCTGCTCTTTTTCCTTAGGGAGACATTACCTCATCCCTCAGAATTGTTCGTTGCAGACACAGCCCTGAGAGATGACCCAAGTAAAGAGTGATCAGGATCTTGGGTTCCTGGCACACCCACCAACAATGTACAGACACTAATGGTCAATTTCCTCTACACACAGTAAGCAGCAGAGCCCTGACCAAGGCCAGGCCCATCTATTTTATACCACCCTAATATAAGCAATGTTCCTTGACAGCAAGCGTATTGTGTGTAACCCTGTCCTTTTCAAATTAGTGAACAAAAACAAATGTCTTCTCATTGTATACAAGAGGAATTCTCACACGGACAAAATTAGCCCTTAAAATAGACTATGGCTTTACATTGTAGTTAAACAAATATTTATTGAATTCTTCAATGTGTGAAGACCTGGAGACATCACAGAGTTTCCACTGGCCCTTGAAGTTGCTCGAAACCCAATGGGAAAAGAAATGCTAGTGTCTTTGTGGGAAAATCACGCAAAGGAATTCTGCCTGTGGGCGTTGGAGTGTATCTGAAATGATGAGGAGTCCTTGACATGATTGGGTAACAAGTCAGACTCATGTGAAAGTTCTGGGAAGAAAAGGGAGTTGGGAAAACAACTATGTGCTAAGGAAAGATGTATGTGGGCTTAGTTCCACTTAATGAATCAAAAAGAATTTTAGCTATTTCTTCCACTTAACCCCCACTAGTTGACACTAAAACCGCTTGTCTGTATCATGGAAAATATTATCAAGATACAGGGCTAGCAGAATGTGGGGAACTAGGCTTGTATGAAGCATCCTGTGAACACTCAAGGTTTTATTTTTTTAATACTCTGTAATTAGAAGACTGGAGAAATCACACTAAAACAATGAACAGGTGCGTGGTTTGTTTTTTGACAATAAAAAGCAGTTTATAGTGAGTCTGACTTTAAAAGCAGCAATGTTAGCATGTAAAGGATTGAAATGTGTATGTAGTTGACATCTGGGGAGAAATATTCAGTGTGATTTGTCATTCCCTTTTCTAAATCTCAGAGCGAAAATTTATCAGTCAAGAAGTAAACAGCAGCCATTATAGAACCTGAACCAAAAATCCCTTCAAGTAAAAAGGTACCCTTTTCCTTCCTACAGACAGAGGGCGCCAGAGCATGGTTTATAACCACCTGTCAGGCGGTTGATGATCCATCTGCAATTTGAATTACCTGCATAACAAAGCCCTAAATCAAACACTTTAATTTTGGTAGTTCGGATCCAACTATATACCTTTGGGGTTCTGCAGTAGTAACACTTTTCATGTGTGTACAGAGGATTATTTTTAAGTCGCTATATTCTGTTTGCAGTGCTTAGAAGTGGCTTGAACCTTCCCCAGGGGTTCTAGAAATCCATTGTATTTCTCTGTCTTTACTCCAGAGGGACAAGGTCAGTGGAATAATATTTTCACTAGCTTTGCTTTACTCCAGAGGGACAAGGTCAGTGGAATATCAGTTTCCATTCAAAGAACATTTAGGGAGAATACAGTTAAGCTCATTTTTGGAGAGTGAAAATGTAATACACAATTCCTACCTTCAAGGACAGTCTGAATTTTGGGGGTTGGGGAGGGGATGTGACTATGAAGCAATAAGCAAATAATACAAGATAGTAAATGAAAAAGTTGCCAAATGTGATTGAGCATTTCAACCAGTAAAAGTTTCTTAGTTTGCACTTCCAAATGATAAGCATGCACTATTCCACTAATCATAAACCATTCCTCAAAAGATAATTTTAAAAGGACGAAATTTAAAAAAAAAAGAAAGAAAAAAGAAAAAAAAAAGAAGAACTATTAGTAGAGGTTAAGAATACAGATTGTGGAGTCAGAATCCTGACATTTAATTTTGGCACTGTATCTTACTTGCAGAACATGATCCTTAACTTCTCTGAGCCTCCTTTTCCTCACCTGAAAAATCACCTAGTCCTACAGGAGTAGATCCATGCAAGGATTTCTCTCAGCCCTGGCACATGGTAAGTGTGTAACAGCTGTTCGTTATTATTATTAGGAAGCAACTCTCAATAAAGAAACCCCCCATCCTGCAGGAACAAACCAAACTTCAGATACAGCATCAGCTAAATTTGTTGCAAACCCTTGAACATTCTCTACCTCCCTACTGCACTCCTACTGAACCTTATATAGCATATCTTTTACCAAATGAAACAGACTAAAAACATCTATTCTTAGCTTCAAATATTTCTCACAGATCTCTCTTTAAGAACCTTGGACAGGGTTCAGAAGGTGCAATGGTGGTTGAGATCCTGAATTCCCACACGGCTGATCTAGGTTTGAGTTCTGGACCCGGCAGCTTGAAAAAAGTCACGACAAATAGATAAAAACATTTTTTAAAAGCACCCTAGGTTTTTTGTTTGTTTTGTTTTGTCTTGTTTTTAAAAAACCTTAGGTGAAGGGACATCAGATGGCGTAATGGTTATATCACTGGACTTCCACGTGGCGGACCCAGAGGCTTGAAACACACTGTGTGTGTGTGTGTGTGTGTGTGTGTGTGTGTGCCCAAAATCCTGAAAGGAGAATGGAGGAGAAGGGATTGCAATGTGGCCATCTGCCCTGCGGGGTGATTTCTCACTTTCTGTCTTTTTAGTGAGCACATATACCCTATAGCAAAAATCTCTCCCCCAAAAAGAACCTTGGGTAGATCTTTGTTCGATTTGCCAAACCAATGGTTTCCCAAAACAAGGGTGCAGTCCACTCATAAAGGACTTAAATCACTTTTTTTCCTCCCCCAGGCAGAATCTGCTCACTACATTTAAATGATGACCTTATTCACCCTAAAATACCTTAATACCTTTCAGCCAGGCCAAGAAACAAACTGCTCTAGTTTGCAAGATGGGTATAGGAGAAGGAAAAGAACATTAACCAGGATGAAAATATTTAGGCCTCAAGACAAAAAAGAGAGTCAGATGGGTCCTTATGGGTGTGAGGATGGGGTATGGGAAGGAAGTGTCCAGAGATAAGATGGAGAGACAGGATTGAAGCCACATGTGGCATAAGAAGTGGGGGATCGGTTCAGATGTGGGGTGTGGATTCAATGAACTAGAAAACAGGGAGCTACTAGTTTCTTTTGGCCTAAGAAAGGCTGTGCTTTAGAATGACTGCTCTAAGGGGTGATGTGCAGGCTGAATAAAATGGGGCCAGAGGGTCAGAAAGACAAGAGTGGTTTTTATTTTCTTTCTTTTTTTAAAAGAATTATTTATTTTATTTATTTATTATTATTTTTAACTTGACCAGAGAGAGAGAGAGAGAGAAAGGGAAAGTGAGAAAGCAAGCCACCAGGTCTGGGACTCAAACTGCTGTTGCCCATATGGGATTCCGGTTCCTTAACCACCACACCATCTGCTGGCCCTGACAATGATGATTTTCAAGACCTCATCCACTTCCCACCCTATATAATGTAATCTCAGCATTAAACCTGAGTCCAAGCATCATGGGAAAGTAGGGGGAGGAGGAGAACATGCTTTATGCCCTAGCCTCAGAAGTCATGTATCTTCATTTCTAACGTATTCTATTGGTCACACAAACCAACCATGATACAGAATGGGAAGGCACTATACATAGGTGTGAATGCCAGGAAGTGGGGATATTAGGGTCTGTCCTGGGTTTCTTCCATGGGTTTGTTTTTGTTTTGCTGTAGGGCACATGCACTCACTGGAGTGCTGAGACAGAGAGAAGAAAAGTGATAAATCACTCCCCAGTGGGGATGGCCATGCTGCAGTCCCTTCTCCATTCTCACCTTGGGATTTGGGGTGCACACACATGAACCTAGTGCAATTTTCTGGCCGCCAGGTCCAGGACCCAAACCATGTAGTTGACCATGTGGGATCCAGCCACCTTAGCCACCACGCCAACTGTTGGCTCTTCCATGGCTTTAACAACATTAGTTCCTACCCTCTCTTACCATGGCACTCATGGTCCACCCCATGCGCCCCTCCAATCAGTAAATACTCTGAAAAGGAAGGCAGTTAACGTGATTCAGCATTGTTCTTCTCTCAGTTGACTACTTTGAGCTGGAAGCTTCCATTCTCATATGAAGCTTACAAGCCATGACTCAGAAATTTGGGACTATCAGGATTTTCTTTCTTTTTTTTTTTTTTTTTGGAGAGGTTTTTGTTATAGGGTGTGTGCGTTTGCCAGAAAGGCAGAGAGAGACAGAAAGCAAGAAATCACCCGCCCAGGGGAGATGGCCACACCGCAATCCTTTCTCCTTCGTTCTCCTCTCGGGATGTTGGGCACGCATGTACATGCACCCAGCGTGAGTTTAAGCCACCAGGTCCGGGACTTGAACTGCAGTCGACTATATGGGAGTCCAGCAACATAGCCATTACGCTAACTGCTGGTCCCAGGACTATCAGGATTTCATACACAGCAGAGCATTTACCTTGTTGCAATCTATTGAAGGTTGGTTCATGAAGTACATGTGTGTGTGTGTGTGTGTATAAATTTATAAAAATAAAGGGACTAGATTCAGAATAAATCCCATTTTTAACTGAAAGACATGGAGGCCCACGGGGGTGCCCCTTGTTTTACTATTCTGCGATCCTTGCCCACTTTCTCCTTGAAATGACCCAATCTATGCATTTAATTATATCTTTAAGATGTCAAACAGATCATCGCTGAAATTACTCTCCTCGCTCTGGCATGTCTGCTCTTGAATACAGATTATTTACTTCTGGATCCCTGACAGTGTGATGTATAACTGAATTCATTTGTAGAGTTGCGGGGTTACCATGACTCTTAGCATTCTCGTAGCAGACCGTCAAACGCCCAGAGAGGAGAGGGCTAGTCGTGCAGCTCTCTGACTCTAGCAATGAGAAGGCATAAAGAGGGAAAGAACGGGGCCAGCCCTTTCCCTCTGTTTCTCTGGGTAATCACTACTTGATAAAGTTTTGTCATTTTTAAGCCCACAGCAAACAATCAAAATAAATGAAAGACCTCCAAATATTGTCCTAACAGACTCCATGTTAGAGGCTTGAACGTAACTCAGGTGAACTTTGATGGCTGGCTGTCTGCATTCGCTCTGCGGGTACAATATGAGCAGAGCCGAGACTCAGCTGGCAGTGCCCTCATGGGGTAAGGGCTAGGGCCCATTCCATTGATCAGGCCTCCACTCTGCTGGGCTGGCATCCACACTGTTCCAGTCATTACAGGTGGCCCTGAGTCTGTGAGAATGTAATGCCACATTGCAAACTGGGCTACATAGAAATGTCTAGAACCCAACTTGATAAGACTGGTTAGAAGGAGAGTGGATAGAGCCTGACTGGGAATCCAGAAGGGGATAGAACTTGGAGGTCTTAGAGTTATAGGAGCCGGGCAATGGAATCATTCCTTCAGGCAGTCGTGCGCCCAGACAAAAATCAGGAGTTCTACACTAGAAGGAACTGAGATCACATATAGGGGGTAATGCAGGAGTAAGGCCTCAGACAAACCAGCCGTTTTTTGTTTTTTGGTTTTTTTTTTGGAGAGATTTTCACTGTAGGGCGCGTGCGCTCGCCAGACAGACAGAGAGAGACATAGAGACAGAAAGCGAGAAATCACCCCCCAGGGGGGATGGTCACGCGGCAATCCCTTCTCCTCCATTCTCCTCTTGGGATCTTGGGCACGCACGCACATGCGCCCGGTGTGAGTTTTAAGCCACCGGGTCCGGGACACGAACCGCGGTCAACTACGTGGGAGTCCAGTGACATAGCCATTACGCTAACTGCTGGTTCCCAAACCAGCCGTTTTGATTCAGATCGCAGGTTAGGTCCTGGGTGAGGCCGAGAGGGTCTTAAGTAGGAGGGTGTGTGATCCCAACCACAGCCATGGCCTTGGATCTATGAGATGGGGACTTTCCTACCAGAGGCCGAGCCTTTAGCCAATAACGTTGTGTCTCGCCTGTTGCCGTTGCACACGCGGCCTCGCCTGCGTTTAAGTGTGTTCCAAAGCACGGTGTTCCCTAGTCGTGGCCATGGAGACCTGCTCTTAGCTTGACTTCCTGTGCAGTAGCACCAAGGTGGTGCCTTCTCTTCTCCTTCTCTGTTTCTTCTTACTTTCTCCTCCGTCCTCCTTCACTTCTTTCTTTTCTCCCCCCTCCCCTCTCCCATGCTCCCCCTTTCTTCTTCCTTCCTTCTGAAACACATGTTGATAAGAAGCCTATCTAGAATCAGGAGATCTAGAAACCTGGCCTGGTCTTGTCACTAACGTATGGTAAGTCACTCAACCTCTCTGGATCTCAGTGTCCTCACTTGTAAACTCTGGGGTTGGTGATCCTGGTCAGGTGAGAGTCCTCGCTGTAAAGTATTTCATTCATCCAGACTCCACAAGACTGCCGGGGTGCGGGGCAGAGGGAGTCCTCTCTGATGAGCGGCATCGAGACAGCCCTGGCTGTGTCCCTGCCTGCCAGACTGCCCTGCTGGGTAAAGTCAGCCTGGCAGACGCCACCGAGGTCCTCCCCGCCGACTCAGACAGTCCTGGTTTAGATAAATGACACACTTGTCTCATTAAATCTGACCAACTCAAATCGTGCCGTGTGTGCTCATTACAAGCCTGTCCTTGCGCCGGCCAGACGGATGTGGTGCTTCCCGGGCTCTAGCTAAAGGTTGACATGGCTTCGTGATGGTATTGCTCGTCTGGAGAGGTGGCTTCAGTTCACTTCAGAGCTCGCGTCCTATAGAATTCTGTTTCTCTAGTTAAAGTGTTTTCATTTTTCCATCTGTTCAATAAATGCTTCTTGGGACCAGCAGTTAGTGTAATGGCTATGTCGCTGAACTCCCATATAGTCGTCTGCGATTCGAGTCCCAGACCCAGTGGCTTAAACTCACTCCGGGCACGTGTGAGTGCGTGCCCCAAGATCCCAAGAGGGGAATGGAGGAGAAGGGATTGCGGCGTGGCCTTCCCTCCTGGGGATTGATTTCTCACTTTCTGTCTCTCTGTCTGTCTTTCTGGCGAGTGCACACGCCCTATAGCAAAAACCTAAAAAAAAAAAAAGAAAAAAAGCTTCCTGGGCAGCTGTCTGGGCCTGGCGCTCTGTATGGCCCAATAATACAGGAAAACAATCCAGTCACAGCCCCTCCCTTTCCAGAGTTGGCACTGACCACGGCCTTCCTGATATTACGCAATGTCTTCCTACCTACCTCTCCAGCCTTCCTTCTGTCCACCGGCAACACTGCTCTGCCGGAGTTCCTCCTGTCTGACATATCGTCCCTCCGCCTGAGTTCATCCTGTCTGACATACTGTCCCTTTGCCTGGAAATTTGGCGCACACCCACATACTCAGCCTGAATAGGGACCAGACCACAGCCCCCCCCCCACACACACACGCATA